CAATAGCACAAGAAAGAATAAAACACTTAGGAATAAGTTAACCAAAAAAGCTCAGGAGTTTGCATTGTTGGTGCAGTGGGTAAAGCTGCTGCCTGCAATGCCAGCATCCCATACTGGAACAGTTCAAGTCCTGGCTACTCCACTTCTTATCCACCTCCCTGCTAATGTACCTGGGAAAGCAGCAGAGGTTGGCCCAAGTGCTTGGGCCCTGCCACCTGTGTGGGAGACCTGGAAGAAGCTCCTGGCTCCTGGCTTCAGCCTGGCTCAGCCCTGCCCATTGCCAGTGGATGGGAAACCTCTCTCTATATATCTCCCTCTCTGTAATTCTTTCAAATAAATAAAATAATTTTTTTAAAAAAGCTCAAAACTTACCCTCTGAAAACTACAAACTATTGTTGAAATAAGTTAAATATCTAAATAACTGAAAACTGTAAAACATTGCTGAAAAAAATTAAAGCACAAAAATGGAGACATCTTGTGTCACATATTGGAAGAATCATATTAAAATGTCCATATTGGGCCAGCGCAGCGACTCAATAGGCTAATCCTCCGCCTTGCGGCACTGGCACACCGAGTTCTAGTCCCGGTTGGGGCGCCAGATTCTGTCCCGGTTGCCCCTCTTCCAGGCCAGCTCTCTGATGTGGCCCGGGAGTGCAGTGGAGGATGGCCCAAGTGCTTGGACCCTGCACACCATGGGAGACCAGGAGAAGCAGTTGGCTCCTGGCTTCGGATCAGTGCAGTATGCCGGCCGCAGCGCGCCAGCCACGGCGGCCATTGGAGGGTGAAGCAACGGTAAAGGAAGACCTTTCTCTCTGTCTCTCTCTTTCTCTCACTGTCCACTCTGCCTGTAAAAAAATAAATAAATAAATAAAAATGTCCATACTCAGCCAAGCCATCTACACATTCAGTACAATCCTTATCCAAATCCCAATGACATTCTTCACAGGAGTAGAAAAAACGCTACTACCCTGGGGCAGGCATTAGCTGCAGTGGGTTGAAGCAACCGCTTGAGACGTCCACATCCCATAGTGCAGTCTTGGGTTCAAGTCCCTGATCCACTCTCCGTTGCAGCTTCCTACTCTGTTCTGGCTGGCAGCAGGTGACGGTTAAGTAGCTGGATCCATCCCAGTGTGGGAGACTAGACTGAGTTTTTTTTTTTTTTTTTTTAAGATTTACCCATTTATTTGAAAGTCAGAGTTACACTTAGAGAGAAGGAAAGGCAGAGAGAGAGAGGGGTCCTCCATCCACTGGTTCACTTCCCAATTGACCACACGGTGGAAGCTGTGCCAATCCAAAGCCAGGAGCCAGGCGCTTCCTCCAGGTCTCCCATGTGGCTCTAGAGGCCCATGCACTTGGGCCATCTTCTACTGCTTTCCCAGGCCATAGCAGAGAGCTGGTTTGGAAGTAGAGCAGCTGGGACTTAAACTGGCACCCACATGGGATGCCAGCACTGCAGGTGGTGGCCTTAATTGCTAAGCCACAGTGCCAGCCCCCAGATTTGAGTTTTGACTTCCTGAATTTGGCTTGGCTCAGCCTTAACTCTTGTTGGTATTTGGGAAGTAAACCAGGGAATGGGAAATCTCTGTCTGTCTCAGCCTTTTAAAGAAGTAAATGAATACATTTTTAAAAAGCACTAAGCAGCCAGCGCCGTGGCTCAATAGGCTAATCCTCCACCTTTGCAGTGACAGCACACCGGGTTCTGGTTCCGGTCAGGGCGCCGGATTCTGTCCCAGTTGCCCCTCTTCCAGGCCAGCTCTCTGCTGTGGCCCGGGAGTGCAGTAGAGGATGGCCCAAGTACTTGGACCCTGCACCCCATGGGAGACCAGGAGAAGCACCTGGCTCCTGGCTTTGGATCAGTGCGGTGCGCCGGCCGCAGAGCACCAGCCATGGCGGCCATTGGAGGGTGAACCAACCGTGAAGGAAGACCTTTCTCTCTCTCACTCACTGTCCACTCTGTCAAAAAAAAAAAAAAAAAAAAAAAAAAAAAAAAAAAAGCACTAAGCCACCCCCCCAAAAAAAACAAAACCAAACAAAAAACTCTGAGTAGCCAGGAGGCGTCGGGGGCCCCACGCTCACACCCATGCGCGCCACCTCGCATGCCTGTGTTTGCTCAAGATGTTTCTTGAGCAAAAAAAAAGTAGGAGGCTGGAGGCTGGATTCTCAATGTTTTCACCACAAAGAAGTGATAAAAGTTTGATTAGATAGATATGCTTACCCTGATTTGAACATTATACAATGTGTATATATATCAAAATATCAATGGCCCATAATAGGTAGAATTAAAATACATCAATTAAAAATTGTCACATGTTCATAGGTCATTTCCATCATTAAGATAACAATATTCTCTCAGGGCTGGTGCTGTGGCATAGCAGGTTAAGCCTCCACCTACAGTGCCAGCATCCCATATGGGCACCAGTTCAAGTCCCACTGCTCCACTTCTGATCCACCTCCCGGCTGATGTTCTAGGAAAGCAGAAGATGGCCCATGTGCTTAGGCCCCTGCACCCATGTGGGAGACCCAGAAGAAGCTCCTGGCTCCTGGCTTCAGACTGGCCCAGCTCCAGCTGTTGCAGCCATTTGGGGAGTGAACCAGTGGATGGAAGGTCTCTCTGTTACTCTGCTCTCAAATAAACAAATACATGTTTTTTAAAAAATAGCAATACTCTCCAAACTGATCTACAGACTCAACCAAACTGCAATCCGAATCCCAGCTAGCTTCCTTGTGGAAACTGACAAGCTAATTCTAAAACCCGAAGGAATTGTCAAGAACCTGCAATTGTAAAGGACCTGGAAAAGAGTAAGTTGAAGGATTCACACTCCTCAATTTCAAAACTTTCTACGGTGCAACAGTAATCAAGGTACTGGCTAGGATGCATAGAATTAAAAAGATATTAACAAGCACTGGTAAGGGTGTAGAGAAACTGGAATCTTGTATGCTGCTGGGCCACATGTACAATGGTACAGTTATTTCAGAAAATAGTCAGGTACTGAGTTATTGCCTGATCCAGAAATTTTACTTCAAAAGAGAAATGAAAACACAGTCACACAAAAACTTGCATACAAATGTTCACAGAAGCAATATCCATAACAACTCAAACATCCATCAACTGAAAACAAAAATGGATTTAAGAGGGAAATAAAATGGATAAATAAAATGTTGTATATGCATTTAATGGAATACATACAATGGAAGATTATTTACCTCTTAAAAATTAAAAAACCAAACAACTGATACATGCTACAATGTGTGAAAAAAGCTTGAAACATTATGCTGGGGGCTGGAGCTGTGGCATAGTGGGTAAAGCTGAAGCCTGCAGTGCCGGCATCCCATATGGGCACCGGTTCAAGTCCCAGCTGCTCCACTTCCGATCCAGCTCTCTGCAGTGACCTGGGAGGGCAGTAGAGGATGGGCCAAATGTTTAGGCCCCTGCACCCATGTGGGAGACCTAAAGGAAGCTCCTGGATCCTGGCTTCAGATTGGCACAGCTCCAGCCATTGCAGCCATCTGAGGAGTGAACCAGCAGATGGAAGATAGACCTCGCTCCCTCTCTCTCTGATGCTCTATAACTCTGCCCTTCAAATAAATAAAGAAACATTATGCTGAGTTACAGAAGCCAATCACAAAATATCACATATTGTATGATTCTGTTGATATGAACCGCCAAACAGGAAATTCTATAGGGACAGAAATACATTAGCGATTGCCCAAGATTAGGGATGTTGGAGAGAAATGGGAAGGGGCTGCTAAAGTGTGATGAAATGTTCTAAAGTTGTGATGGCTGCACCTACCATCTGTGTAGATATTAACTTCTACTGAGCTGTACAGCTTAAGTGGGTCTATTGCATGACAGAGTAATTAAATTTCAATAAAGCTATTACATTTTTCCAAACAGCCAAGAAAAATGCATACAGAGGAACAAAAGAGGACAGTGGCATTCTTTTCAGAAACAGTACAAACATAAAGACACTGGAGCAACATCTTTAAAATGCTTAAAGGCAAAAACTGCCAACCTAGTACTCAATACCTGGAAAAATGTCTCTCAAGATGATCATGAAACACACTTCTACAGAACACTTGCATCAAAGATAATATCTCAAGAGCAATGAAAAAATACTTTGAATGACATGAAAATTAAAAATCGACATCAAATTTTGTGGGAGTTAGCAAAAGCAGTATTTAGAAATACATAGCATTAAATATATAAATTCAAAGAAAAGAAGCTTTAAAATCAGGAATCTAAGCTTTCCCCTTTGGAAACTAGAGTAACAGGAATAATTTAAGTTGAAAGCAAATAGAAGAAAAGAAATAATAAAACTAAGAGCCTAAATGTATGAAACTGGAAATGCGAAGCAGTGGAGAGAAATCACTGAAAACAGAACCTAGTCTTGAAAAAGATCCTATGATCGACAAACCTCTACTAAGTTAATCAGGAGCAAGAGGGAAGACACAAATCACTAAGTGCTGATACATGCTATAAACCTTGAGGGCCAGCCTTGTGGTGCAGTGGGTGAAGCTGCCACTTGCAATGCTGGCATCCCATACAGGAGTGCCAGCTTGAGATCCTGTGCTCCACTTCCAGGCCAGCTTCTTGCTAATCTACTAGGACCCCTGCCACCCAGGTGGGAGACCAGGATGGAGTTCTTGGCTACTGGTTTTGTTTAGAACAAACAGCCTTGGCTGTTGTGGCCATTTGGAGAGTGATTCAGCAAATGGGAGATGTCTATCTCTCTGTCACCCTGCATTTCAAATAAGTAAATAAATAAGTAAATCTTAAAATATATATCTGCCTGTCAAAAAAGTTTCTTAAAAAAATAGATAGATAAACCTTGAAAACCTTATGCTAAGTGATAAAGAAGCCAGTCACAAAAGACCACATATCCTGACTCTATTCATGTACAATATGCAGATCAGAGGAATAACTGGTATATGCTTGGTAAATAGATACAGCAAGTCTCTTAGGGAGTGGGTACTTAGCCTTGCAGTTAAGATGCCTTCACCTGGGTTTGATTCCTAGCTCCAGCTTCTGAGTCCAGCTGCTTGCCTATGTAGACCCTAGGAAGCAACAGCAATGACCCAAGTGACTGGTTTCTTGATACCCAATGAGAAACCTGGGCTTTGTTTCTGGCTGCTTGCTTCAGCTCTGGTCCAATTCTGGCTGTTGTGGGTAAAGCCCTCTCTCCATCTGCCTGTTCCTCTCCATCTCTACCTTTCAAATAAATAAAAATTAAAAAATGAAAGTAGTTGTCTAGTTCAGCACCGGCCCCATCTTAACCACTTTTAAGTGCACAGCTCGCTGGTATCGAATATTGTACAACCATACCACCATCCATCTCCAGAACTCTTCATTTTATAAAACTGATGGCTGTGCGGTGATATCTCACCATGGATTTGACCCACATTTCTTTTATGATTGGTGATGTCGCACATCTTTCCATGTGCTTATTCGCCATTTGGATACCTTCTTGGGGAATAATGTCTGTTCGAGTCTTTTGCCACATTCAAAAAGTCTTTACCACGCTGAGTGTCCTGAAACTTTTCCCTCCTATTTTTCTTTAGGTACTTTATAGATCTACCTCTTACAGGCAGGCCTTTAATCTTTTGAATTAATTTTTCTATGTGGTGTTAAGAAACCAACTTCATTTTTTGCATGTAGATATTGTCTTTCCAATACCATTTGGTATTTACTTATTTGAAAGGCAGAGTGACAGTGGGAGAGAAATCTTCCAACCATTGGTTCATTCCCTAAATGGCTGTTATAGCCAGGTCTGAGACAGCCTGAATCCAGGAGCCAGGAATCCCATCCTGGTCTCCCAGATGGCTAGAAAGGACCCAAGCACTTGGGCCACCTTCTGCTGCCTTCTCAGGCTGATTAGCAGGAAGCTGGATTGAAAGCAGAGCAGCAGAGATTTGAACCAGGGCTCCAATGTGGAATGCCAGCATTGCAAAGATCACTGGCCCCTCCCAACACCACTTGTTGAAGAGGCTGGTGTAGGCAGTGTGGAAGATCATCTGCCCATGTCTGCTAGGGTTTTCTGGGGGCTGTGTATTCTGACCCATCGGTATGTGTGTGTGATCACATCTTTATTAGCTAAATACCCTTAATTTGGTTAGGGGAGCACCCATGTGGCTAGTTCTGGTCCTGTGGATGTTGCTCCCCCACTCTGTGCCTTCTGGCACAAGATGCTACATTCTCATCCCTCACTTTCCCTCAAGAAGCCTCAAAACCAGCCATTTTTCTAGAGATCCCTGATTCCTTTTAGTGGATATGACATTAAGAAGCCAAGATCTGTTGCTAGGTAAATTCATGATTTTGAAATTTCACTGGTCCCTTGAGTCTAAGTGGAAAGAAATGGAAAATTATCAGGGCCAGTGCTGTGGGATAGTAGGTCAAGCCTCCACCTGTGGTGCTGGCATCCCATGTGGGCTCTGGTTCATGTCTCAGCTGCTCCACTTCAGATGGCCTGGGAAAGCAGAAGAAGTCGGCTGAAGTTCTTGGGTCCCTGCACCCACATGCAAGACCCAAAGAAGCCCCCAGCTCCAGGCTTCAGATTGGCCCAGCAGTGGCCGTTGCGGCCATTTGGGAATGAACCAGCGGATGCAAAAATCGCTGTGTCTCCCTCTGTAACTCTGCCTCTCAAATAAATACATCAATCATTTTAAAAAAAAGAAATGGAAAATTATCTTCAAAATTATACTCCAAGAAGTTCATGGGAAAATGGAATTAAAGGTAGTTTATCTTGGTGCCAATTATGTTAAAGCCATGTGCAGTTTTTGTAGTACACATTTCCAGATCTTTTTGAAGCCCCCTGATATATCTACAACCCCAACTCAAACTATGGGGCTCATTCTAATTTCCACCCTTTCTGTATTTTTCTCATTGTTAGGCAATGAGGAACCAGACTTCCACTTTCCTCTTTCATATTTGGTCATCTCCATTTGCAACACCATCATCTTCTTTCTCTCCGTGCTTGGGCTCTAACAGCCCACACCAGGCCAGCCCCCTGCAATGATGCCCTCCTTGCCCAATAGACTATGGCAACTCACACTCATTCTTCCCCTTCCCCAGGCTCTGACATCCATGCCAACCTGCACCCAATCCCAGACATGTGGGCTGCACTACACCACAAGACTAGTTCTCCGTCCATACCGGGGGCTCCTGCCCACTTGGACTCTCACTTCACTCCCAGCCCAGGCTACCCTTCCTCATGGACCCTCCTCATCCCCTTTGGGCTCTGACAGCTTTGGTATGACTGTCCTGTGAAGGCAGCCTCATCACCAGGTGTGGACCCTTCCACCACGTGCTGGGCTAGCTTCCCACATGGACTTCCTCTACATTTTCTTTAGGCGAGGTAGGGAACCCTATTCTAGTCTCTAAAAGGTATTTTTGCAATTGGTATTATTCTGCCAGCAGATGGCAGACACTTCTCTCCCTCCTTTTCCCTCCCTCTGTAATTCAGCCTTTCAAATTAATAACAACATTAATGCTATTTCCATTTCTTAAAACATAAAGATTAAATTCTCCTTGCTCTATGTAGCCATGTGTATTTATCCATTTTTCATTACTTTACCCAAAATACCCAAGAGGAGCTTCCTGGGAAGGAAAAGGTTTAGTTCAGCCAAGTTTGGATATTAAGGTCAGGACGGGGTGGTCCCATAGAGCATCTCTGGTGGAAGCTAGCCATGGCAGTGTGGAGGAGTGATGACATGGTGAGCCAGGAAGCCCAGCGAGCAACTAGACTTGAACCCAAGTCGCCAGCCTTGTTGTGAGAACCACCCTCTGCAGGTACGACCTCAGTGACCAAAAGGCCTCTCATCAGAGCCACCTCTTAGATGCCGTAACTAGATCAAGTCTCCACTCTTCACCTATCAACTGTTAAGACATTAAACATCCACATGAGTTTCAGGGAGACAAGCTCTACTCAATCATAACATTGAGTCAGTGGAAGTACCACCTACAAAGCTGAGTGGTATTGGGACATAATTACCCTTCATTCTGAAGACACACAAAGGATTTAAGGAGGATTTCCCTGGGCCTGAATGGTGTTACAACAGACGTTTACAGCTATGACTTGCCCTGTGCTGGCACTGAACAGCAGATCAGAAGTGACAGAATCACCTAAGTCCTCGTTAATCAGTTTCCATGTTTGTAATACACATCTGGATCCCTCTGAAATATAGAACCCAGAGCAGTTCCCCATTTTGTCTGGGTCAAAAGGGGGCATTGATATTTGCTTACACTTCTCATCTTTCCTGCAAAGTGTTTTTCTGGTTACTTTGATGTCAAGTTTTACTGCTCTTACACATATTTCCTTTGGTGCCTTTGTATAGGTACAGTGCATTTTAGACCATACAGTCTTTCCAGGAACGGTTACCCAACTCTCCTTCCCTACAGCTCCAGCAGCTCTCTGTCCACACCTGGTTTCCACACTACTCACATATCTGGGCACTTGAGGATTTTGATTTGAAACCTAATCTTGTTTGAGTTCTATGGAAGACATGTTCACATCCTAACCACCTAGTATCTCTTATTTGGAACCAGGTTCATGGCGGATGTAACTGGTTTAGGATGAGGTCATACTGGACTGGGACCCTCATGCTATACGAATAGTGTCCTTCTAAGAAGTAGTCATGGGAAGTCAGAGACAGACCAAGAGGGGCATTTGATGACAAAGGCAGAACTGGAATTGGGTGACTTCAAGCCAAAGAATATGAAGACTGCCAGCCAATCATTCGAAGATAGGAAGAGGACAGGAAGGACTTCATTACAGTTTTCACAGGGAACACCTGCTGCTTATATATTGATTTTGAACTTCTAGGTCCCAGATCTGAGAAACCAGGACTTCCTGTTGTTTGGGGGGGGTACTTTGTTATGGCAGCACTAGGAAACTAATCTACAAGGTGTTTTACTGTCCTTATTGCTTTCATGCGGTTTCTGGGAGGTGAGACCTTGGATCTGAACACTCACCAAGTTCACACTGTTCACTATTTCCCATTTGACACAGAATTCCATCAGTGGAATCGCCTACATGATTGTGCATGAGGAACAGGTTTCCATTCCATCTGCACACAAAGGATTCCATCTGCACACAAAGGATTCCGAACAGATAAGTATATTCAAAGAGTATTTTCACACAAGCGGCCAAATGAATGTCTCCAAATCACCACTGTTTCTTCAATATATACAGCCTTTGAGTTACTGTGAGTCTGTGTCTTGTTTGCATCTTAGAAATGGGCACTGTAAACAGATACATACCAAGTTTTGGTAAAAGTTCATTACACCTTCCCTTTCCATATGAGGACACAAACTGCAGTATCACAAAAATGGGGCTCTACATTGTTAAGCATGAAGACCTCAATGTAGTCACTATTCCAGAACTCTCTATATTTTTACAATTCCCTGCCTAAAGGGCTCACTGGAGGATGAACATCTTTTAATGATATGTACTTTTTGAGGCTTCAGTTTTTTAAAATTTGAAACACAGAGGTAATTTGGCAAGCTCATTTGCTCAAATGCCTGCAAAGCTTTGGAGGCTGGACCTTGGAGATGAGACCTAATTCCAGATCTCCCACCTAGATGGCAGGTACCCAGTTGCTTGGGCTGTCATCACTGCTTCCAAGGGTCTGCATCTGCAGTGTCTGGAATTTGGAGGCAGAGCTAGGAATCAAACTCAGGGTACTACGATATGGGACACAGGCATTGTAACCACTAGGCCAAATGACCACCTAGGGCTTCAACTTTGTATCAGTAAAGGTGGGAAGATGGCCTTTGAAATGTGGCTTAGTCATTCTGTGGCTTAGTCACCTTAGTCATGGCCACTCTTGCTTTCTTTAGGTTTCCATTTACATGGCCTGTTTTTCCAACTTCTCACATTTAGCTTAGTTATGTCCTTAGATACAGGTGGTCTTCTAGACAGCATATCTACAACATCATGACAGTTGGCTTGTGCAATGTCCCAAACATCCATTGCAAAAATGGGACATCCCCGTCTGATCTTGTTTTTCTTTACAATAATACTCGTATCATTCAGGTAAGAACACAAAGCATTTTATCA